AGCGGCTCAACCAGTGTGTACAGCCCATCGTACAGCTCCGCCAAACCAGGATCACAAGTTCCTCTCTCTTTCTTCCACAGGATCCGCAGAGTTTGGATCCAGACTTCCCTGAAACATGGCAGATGAGGAGGCTAAAAGGAAGCAGACGGAGAAGGAACGGAAGAAGGCCGAGGTGAGAGCTCGGCTGGAGGCCGCATCCCAGCCAAAGAAGAAGAAGGGTTTCATGACCCCAACCCGCAAAAGGAAACTCAGGACCCTATTGAGGAAAAAGGCCGCTGAAGAATTGAAGAGGGAACAAGAGAGGAAAGCAGAAGAAAGGAAGAGGACAATTGCCGATAGGTGTGGACCCGCTAAAGATTTGGAAGGAATCAATGAAGCGAACTTACTCACAATCTGCAAGGAATTCCACCAAAGGATTTCAAAGCTGGAGGACGCCAAATACGACTTGGAATTCGCCGTTAGACAGAAGGACTATGTGATTAGCGAGCTTAACATGCAAGTGAACGACCTCCGTGGAAAATTCATCAAACCTCCACTGAAGAAGATATCCAAATTCGAAATGGGCAAGTTCGAGAAACTGTTGCGAGCTGCCAAGAAGTCAGACGCTGACTTCCGGGTTAACTTGAAGTCCGTTGGACCATCCACCAAGTTCAAGCTGGAAGAGGACGTGAAAGAGGCTAAACCTGACTGGGCTTTGGGAGGCAAGGAAGGTGGCAAGAAGGGTGATGAGTAAAATCCGCGAAACTTTCGCTTCACTTCCCGCCAATCTCTGTTTCGTGTGGTCACAAGTCAATTTTACATCTCTCTCAAAATCGGACGTGGATCCCGGATCAGATGCAACTGGATCCGATGAGATGTGGTGTCACCATCCAGCATCAAGATTTCAATAACTGAACCGCCAAAATTTTTTTTGATGATCTTTCTTTCAAAAAATTAAAACTGTACAAATTGGAAATCCAAGGGGTCAGCAGCTACATTTCAGAAACTTGTAATTGAATTATTGTCTTCTCGATGTTTCATACTATGTAAAACCCGAGTAATAAAAGCATTGTTTTTTACTTGAAAA